CGGAGTTTTCTGCTGAGAGCTTTTCAAACCGTTTGAAGAAAAGACTTGGAGCATTTTTTAGAAAATGGCGTTTGAACGTTTCTGAATACGCGATGTTTTTTAGCTAGTTTTGATTAGTTTTTGAGAAGCTTTACTTACAATGTTTAAAGCACATAAACTCATAAATATCATAAAGTGAACAAATTGCTGCTGGTGTAAATGTTAACGACATGAAAAGAAAGTAAAAAAGTAAACTGTAATTTTTTAAATCACAAAGAAATATAACAATCTTATAGATTAAATTTAGCAAAATCCCTACCAAATATTTACAAATAAAAATTGCGGCGGTTTTGAAAAAATCTTGCTTTTGTAATTTTTTATAATTGCAGAAATTGCATGCAATATTAAACTACTAAAATGTGCAAAAAAATGTACGTGACCTAAATGATGGGACGAAATATGGACAACAAATTTTACTTCAAGGAAAAACCTGTATCTTTAAATTTGTAGTTCCAGGAAGACCCCCCAAAAAATTCACACTTCTGAAAGTTTCGAAAATTTAGAGTTAACCATGAAAATAAGAGCTGTGCCACCTGCTGAGAGCTCGCGCCGCGCTCCGTCCGCGGATCGCCGTAGCGGCTGTGTAGCTTAGAATATCTGCGCAGCTCCCGCAGCGTCCTTATCTGCTCATCTGTAAGCTCAGACGTGACTCCCGTTTGCGAGTAATTTTTGTATGCGGTGCTCCGCAGTCAATTCTTCGCGATCGCAAGGTCGATAATTCCCGGATTTCCAGTCGACGGGTAGATCGTGGGTTCTTTCGGGGCGCATATGTATACGCCACGCCTCGTCGCTATGTAGTGGGCTAAACGGGCGCCGTTTCGTTTGCAGCGACGCAGCCCCACTGTGTGTTCCTCGCAATGAAATCCTCTAAAATGAGAACTTTAGTAAGTAACGCGAGTATCGCATCGATACAGGCAGTGTCTAGTTGCTGATTTGGGCTGTAGACGGACGCGATTGTTAGTCGACTGCCAACCGTCCAAACTCGCTTCGTTACTTCGATCTGGAGGATGTCGCGTCGGACCAGGAGCGCACCACCGCCCCCCGCCCCCCCCCGTTTGACCTCGCGGTCTCGGCGATAGACTGCGTGTCCGTGAATACTGGTAGTGCGATGCTCACGAAACCACGTTTCCTGCAGCGCCAATATGTCGAGCTGTCGCTCGGTAGCAAAGAGACAGAGGATTTCGATTATTCTGCGCCATTGTTGGCAGAAGCATGGTCAGTATGTGGATCATTGCCCGAATCTGGTCTTAGGAGAGAGCACCCAATTGAGTCGCGAGACCGCGTCTCTTGCGCCGCGTTATTGTGCGGCGCAGCGGGGGCCTGAGAGAGGGCTGGGCCCGCTACCTCTGAACAGGTCGCCTCGCCGCGTACTCTCTGCCGAGGTGCCTCGCCCGAAGGGGCGTCGAGGTTTGTGGGCCTCTCGACAGATTCCTTTTCGAAGCTCGATGGGCGCTGCAACGGCGTGCATCTTTCGCATTTTGTATAAGATGCCATGTGCTGCCCGCCGCAATTGCACCATTTCGGGCGTGCCGAAGTACCGCGTATGGGGCAGTCCTTTGTGCGAGGCTTGTCTGCCAGGTAGCCCTCTCCCGTGCAGATCTTACATCTCACGGGATATTCGCAGTTCGAGAAGCGAGGGCGCTTCCATTCCTCCCGGACGACTTTTACGTCGCAGGAGGCTATGGCCGTGATGCCGAAAGCTCTGCGCCACTCGCCCGTGCGAAGGGTGATGCGAGAAGTCCCCGAGCGCACGACGCGAGCTGCAAGCGCACCAGTATGACGCGTTCTAGAGTCTTTCCTAGGAGCGAGAGTAGACTAATGGGTCTATAACTACTCGGCAAGAAGATGCTCTTACCGCACTTGGGTATTAAGTAGATGCACAAAATAACGTTGTGTATATACTGATTTTTTAGTTACAGAAAGTAAATCTACAAACAAGATTATTACACACTATATGTATCCTTTAACTATTTTGAATTTGTTTTATGCAATGTTTGTAGATTTTGTTCGGGCTTTTAATATTTGTAACACATCTGTTACATTGCCAAATCCACTTCAAAATATAAGAGGAATATGTTTACATCGTACCACATTAATGTTTGTACCTACTTGAAAAGGTCTTTTATGTAAGTCAAAAGAAGTGGCGCACTCACCAGGGGGGCTACACCCCCGAGAATCTAACGATTATATTTAAACCTTTGAGTAAAAATCTGCCTTCTGCAAATAATTTAGAGATATATTTACCAATTTTTGAGGGATCTTTAACATTGTCGAGTATTGATATTTCGAAGACTCTCTCTAAATGAGTGGCCTCTTGCCTATTTTGAAACTCATGAACAAGAAAACCATTTTTATGCGGTTGTAGACACGTCACTGGCTAAATTACCAAAGGCGAAACAAAGCAATATAAATGAAATATAAAAATATTAACAAAAAATCGGTGTGGGTAGTTTTTTTCTAGACGCAACTTAACTTGAGTTAAAGTTTTTGTCTGCTTTCTTTTTTCTACATATACTTTTCAATGTAACATATCTGTTACGTATTTAGATTTCATCAGATTTAGCAATGTAATATTTACGTTGCAAATTCAGATCTCACAACGGGTGGCAGAGAAAATCAGTCTCCTTCAAAAACCTTATAAAAATTCTATACAACCTTTAGGTTAAAAACATTAATTTCTTTACGCATATATTGTCTTGCCAAGTTAAACAAAGTAGTTAGCCAAGTTAAACAGGCGGACGGACGGGTAGACAGACTGACCAACGGTCGAACGATTTGAAAAAACACTTTTTCAATATCAAAGGGCCTCAAATTTTCCGTCAAAATCGCAAAATCGATTTTCCGCAACAATACATAACTTTACTTATACTAAGTTTATTACTCCGTATATACATACCGAAGTAAATATGACACATCGTAAAAAACACTAATTGGCAATAATTAAATTACGCATCAAACTACAAGCGTAATATTCGATTAAAAACATGTTAAGGGCTAAATGTAACGGAACTAACCCGTGTATGTATGTTGGCCCTCAAATGTAACTAAACGAGCGCGTTCACCGTCAAAAATGATGGGACGCGCTCCTTTACACACATTATGAAGTAGCTCAGAGTATGCATGCATTGTTTTGTGGGTGGCAAATGCGATACAACCCTTGGCCACGTTGGGAGTCGGCTTTTGTGAATCTCACGGTTTCATATTTACCTTTTTAATGAAAGATAACATGATTTTCTTCAAAAGCAACTTGCCAAAGTGACGGATTGATTCAAATAAACTTAACTTAATGAAGAAGTCAACTGACACTAGATTATACACAGGATGGGATCTTTATAGGAGCCTTCTGTTCATCGAATGTAACAATGGGGAGGGCTAGTAATGGCTATACTAGCGGGTGCTAATACCTCCACCCGCGCATTCCGGATTTTGGCCTAGGCTGCTGGTAACGGGCTGCCACACAGCGCGGCGCGGCGCGGCACCCGGCGCTGGGAGTCAGAGGCTGCGAGTCGCGCCCGCTGGCCGTTCTGAGGAGCTGCCTCGTGTTCCCCAAATCATCGGCTGCAATCGCCGGTCTCGACCGTCACACGCCACCTTCTTGCGACAAGTATTCCTTTAAAGCAGTCTAATGCTCGACAGTAGCATTAGTACGGGATGCTATATGGAGAGATGGTATAGTACCATTTGAAACCGAATTTGTTCAGACTGCTACGCACTTTTGGGGAGATTGAGTAGACTGTATGGATTTCTGGTTACCGTGGAAACGGACTGAAGCTTCAAGATAGCTCGGGTGGGCGGTGATGATGGAGTGCGGTGCAAGGCTTCTGGCAATAGTGCGTAACATGCGGACACGTTATTCGCACAACAATCCATTTATTCTAGTCCACATTAAACAGTCACAGGCGCAGATATACAATGTATAGTCGTTTGATAACTAGATTACAATTAGAATTCACTGTCCACAGTTACTGTAACCCTGTGGAACATGGATTTCTAGCATTGGCTTCCGCAGTTGAAAGATTGCGTTGCAACATACGCGAACAAGTAAAATAATTACTTGGCATAAGCAATGCTCACTGTGAAGCGCTAATTTGAAGTGTACTGACACATAGCGCAAAAGCTTAAACGCCTACAGAATGTTTGTAAATTTTACGTAAGAGAAGATGTATTCTTCTTACGGAGTTCCAAACCAATTGACGAGAGACACAGGTAAGACTCACATGGAGTCTCAATCGGTACTAACTTTTGCAACGAACGGCGGCGTCGCAAGAGATTCACCGCGCTTGCAGGAGCTAGGTGAGGGTAGAAAATGAACGTATCAGATTCGAGTATTTAATTTGTTTCAGAATAATATGATGAGTTTCGACTGTTAATATCAGAAACAGTTACAAGTTTTATATGTATGCCACGCAAGAGGTACCAAGAATTTGGGGTGACGTCACGTAGCTCGCAAAGCGCACTCGTGCGGCCGCTTTATTGAATTTGTGGAAACGGGAAGCCTAACCGCGGAAAAATAATACTTGGAAGCGTGACAATTGAAGACGCTGTTAGCAGTAAAAGTACATAAGTACAAAATCACGGTTGGGTTTTGTCCTTGCAAAACAAATAAATAAAATGTGGAAATAGGTTTTACACAATATTCTGTTTGCATGTGGGGCCGAACAGAATTATAAAACTGCTAACTGACATGAAGTCAGTATGCTGATAGTAATGTAGATGTTTTTGACACTCAAGTGGCTGGTGTTTTCATTGTTTTCTTTAATTTCTGCGCGTATTTGAAATTAGTATTATAAATTGTGATGTTATAAGAATGTTGTAATAAGAATATATGTTCTTATATTTAGATGACTATGAGACATTATCAGATTTTTGATAAACGACGCAGAATAATGTGGTTTCTTAAATATTTAGATGGTACTAAATTCAATGAATTACGACTAATTTTTCTCATTTCTTGATTTCAGAAATTCAGATACTCTTCCTATTTATAATGCGACAGGTCACAACAGAAATTTGTTTCCACTTGCAAAAATACGAGACAGTACATATACTATTTTATCAGAAAATAGAATTTCACGTATTTACAAGTGGTTTGCAATCATTGCACCTACTTTGTTCCTTTTTAGATTGACTTTCATTTTGATTGATATTCCAATCGCCTTAACATTAGATTGTATTGCATGGTGGATAAACCAACCAACAAGGTAAGCAGATGTAAGGGAAAGAAAGGTAAGTTACGCATGTATTTTGAAATGTAGAAGAAAAATCTCATTTTTCCACTTTATTTTTCCAGAATGATTAAAGTTCAACGTCGAAGTATTGTTGCTCAACTAAAGAATTATTATTTCTCGCATCACTCATTTAAGTTCCACCATTTCAATTTTTCATCTCTTAATGATATATTAAGACATAAAGAAAAACAGCGGTTCGAACTAAATATTGAACATATATTATGGGAACCATTTATGCTTTGTCCTCAAAGAGAACTGAAAAAATACTTTTTCCCGAAGAACACTATAAATCCCGGTCGAGTCGAAACAATGTAAGTATCACTTGTTTTTTGTATATTTCTCCTTATTTGCGAAGTATTTTTAATGATCTATTGTTTATGAAATAGAGAGCAAAAATCAAAAATTTAGTATGAATATTAACTAGTGGTTCTACAACATTACATACTCTTTCGCATTATTTCCAACTGCTCCGTTATATTATACTGCTACATAAACTGCAAAAGTATTATTATCCAGCAAAAACGTTTCCCGCACCGTGACTCGAACACAGGTCTTCCGAGTTAACTCGCCGTGAGCATTACCTCTATGCTACAGAAAAGCTGTAAATTTTAAATTCGGGCCAACATAAAAATCTAATAATAAAAATTTCCGAATAGTTAGAGAGCAATAAAAATGAGACAACATTCTTTCAATCGTCTCTTGTTTAATACATGTAAAAGTTTTAAAGGAAAAAATCAGTTTCTGGAAAAATAATTTTAGTTTTACTTTCTGAGTGTGCGTTTCAATGCTGCAGACGAAAAGGCGTACCACGTACAAACTTATTGCCGAACCCTGGTAACGAAAAAGTGGAAAATCTTTAGTAAATTACTTCCTCCAACATTGTTTAGTCATAATCCGTTTTGTGAATGATTGGAAATCGAACTGAAAAGTCTATAGACAGCAAAGCGTATAGCCCAAGTTTAGGTTCATGCATATTTATTCATACGTAGGGATAGGGAAAATTTTCAAATAAATATTTTAATATACCTAATATGCATTCCACATCAAACAGTAAATTATATTTATATTATATTCTGTTTAATAATATTACACTTGTAGCGCGCACCTGTTGACGAGTGGCTGCCATACCGGCTTTTGAGCTTCTAATGTTGGAGTTCCATCCCTCCAAGATGTGCCTGGCTTTTTGCAGGGCTCTCACAGTGTAATTTCCTATCCTAACGAGGTCTCACGTTCTCCCATTCAGAAATCTCTAATGCAGTTACAAGAGAATGATATCTGACGCAGACTCAACGTCAAAACCCAGGCGCATCAGGGGAGCGCCCACGAAGCGCGCCTTCACGAAGATCTAGACCCGCACTACGGGGCGAATACACGAGTACGAGCGCAGGGAAATTTTAATTTCCAAACTAGTGGTGCTACTGAATGCCAGAGACTTTGTCGTACTAGTTAGGTGCCTAAATTGTTTCGTCTGTGATAGCTTTTTGGTTTTTCCTCACTCTCTTCCTAACCTATCAGCGTAAAACAACACATTCTTACTTTCTCGCACTTACTAACATAAAGCTGGCTTTACACTTGCAAGAAAATGGCGAGCAATATTATTTCGCAAGAAAAGTTGCCAATGTAAACATCACGGCAATAAATATTTCTCATGTTGGCAATATTTCTTGCTAGATATCCCGGTCGTAATGTAAACCCGTGTGTTCCCACCCTCGGAAAGATATTGCCGGCTGTAGCTGGGACTACGTATAGAATTGGAATGAAGTATGAGCAAGATATTGCTGGAAGAAGTCAATGTTGACGACTGTCACATGCGCAGGAAGTATGTACGGTAGTACATAGACGTAGTATTTCCATTTTAATATGCATTTTTTCGTAAAATGGGTGTATGAAAAATGTTTAAGACAATAAAAGGAGTAATAAATAATACCTCTATGGTTGATTATCAAAGGTTCAAATTTTGGTTCAGTAATAGATGCCCCCTGATTATTAATTTTGTACGTTAAAAATTATTAAGATATTAATCTAATCTAAATCAATTTTAAGATTACTCTTTAACATATCTGTAGTAGGAAATGGATGTTTTAAACCTTTTTACCCAATAAGTAAATGCACTTTTTATTAAAAGACAATTACTTTGCTCCTACGGGAATTGAATTCCACGAAATCATTTTGTTTTAAGAAAAATATTCCAACACTTCTACCTAATTCGCACATGCCCTCTTTTCCTTTCTTCTTAAAACTCAGTCACATGTCCTCACAAATTGTCGTCGTTACTTCATCACACCATTTACCACAATAAGTGGGACCGCAACTCGCATTTTTTGCCTTGCACTAGTTTTGTCGGGAAGTGAGTGAGGTATAACCTCTCTTAATTTCATGCGCCATTTCCCTCGCGCCGTCCCCAAACACGGCAACAAATGGTCCTAATGTAAAGCGATCGGCAATATCTTGCTGGAAAGATATTGCTCAGATCTTTCTGACTATATATTGCCCCTACTTGCTCTTGCTAGTGTAAAGATGACCCCAAGAAGCGCAAACAAATTGCTGAAAGATATTGCGGAAACGTATTGCTAATGTAAGGCCAGCCTAAGAAGACATATTGCCATTCTAATCGAAAGCCGCAAAAACAAATTTTCGACACAACAACTCTTATTTCCGGGCTTCAGTAAGGGAAACGTAATCGTATGTCATGGACACTGAAATTTGAAACCGAAATTTTAATTTTGGCGGGTAGTTTACATGAAGCCACTGGGACATTTTCAAGATTTAAAAAAAATGCTCCAAGTATTTTGATTAAATTTTGTTGTTGAATATTTCAAAGGACAGAAACAGAATGGTGCAGATCTCACTTTTGTAGACATCCCCAATTTTTCGAAAAATGGAAGAAAAAATAAAACTTCAAAATTGGAGATATAAATTTGTTTAAGGCAAAGTCTGTTGTACAAAATTAGCTCTTCAAAAACGTCATATTCAATAATTTGAGAAAACCAATAGTTTTGGCAAGTTTTGCGATTGATATTTTATATTAAAAAAATTCAAAAACTGCTCGAAATTTTTGTTTAAATTTTCTTGACTTCTGATATCGGTATCAAATCCGCAACATCAAGCCAATCAAAGCCAGCAGTGCCCAAAATCCAATTTCGACCAAAGTATATCCAAGATTTTAGGCCAAGTTGAGGCGCATTAAATACTATATTTCCAACTTTTAGGCTCTTTTGGATTTAGGCTCTTTTGGATCGGGCGCTGCTAGCTTTGGACTAAAATTAGCAGCGCTCACCTAGAAAATCCATCTAAAAATATGAAACCACCTCCAAAATTAAGGGCTAATTTCAGGTTCTAGCAAAAATGTATTCCCGAATTTAACCAAAAACTCAGGTCTGTACTGCTGGCTAGCTAGTCAGGCTAGCCAGATACTTTTCCTTCTAGCGCCGCCTAAAGTATATTTTCCCCATTTTTTCAATTTTTAGGTTTCTTAATGGCAGAAACCAATTATTACTTTAAGAATATAATAAAGAGGGATATTTAAAAAAATACATTTGTGTACTTTGTGAAAAACCAAAAGAATACAGCAAACTTAATTCTGGCATCTTAAACAAAGAAATTTTGTACAAAAAGTTTGACAAAAATTTGAAGCTGTTTTTGAACAAATAGCGTTTGATCGTTTCTGAAAATCCGGAATTTTGAGCTCATTTTCACAGAACACTTTTTGAGTTTATGGAAAACTTTATATAACTTTGTTTAAAGCACATGTACTCGTAAATGCAATAATGTGAAAAAATTGCTGCTAATGTACATATTAATGACATGAGAGACTAGACAAAATAATTACTTTTGAATCTTTTGCAAGAAACAAATACATAGAGCGAAACAATGTTTTGTCATCTAATGGAGTACATTTTGCTTTATCCCTACCAGGAGTTTGACAAAAAAATTTGAGGTCGTTTTTGAGTGACTTTGAGTATTTTTTAATATTGCCTATATTGCACGCAATATTGCATGAAAACTTTTAAACGTTTCAAAAAAGTCCATGAACTTAATGAAAGAACTAGTTATGGATAACAAATTTAGTAAAAATTTCTATCTTCAAAAAACGAAGACGCCGGAAAATTCAAACGATCGCCATTTTTGAAAATGTAGTTGACCTTGAAAATCGGACCTAGGCCACCTTTATACTTACACTACTTTATTTTACTCTATTCCTAGAAGATATTTAAAGAAAAAAATTAGAACAATTTTTGAGAAATTTTGAAAATGTCTCAGAAGCTTCATGTATATTACTCCCAACTTTTATAGAAAGTTGTTCAAAATGACAAATTTCGACTCAAGCCAGATTGATGTGAGTTTCTTAAATTTGAAAAAAATTCAACGGATCGTTTAGCTGCTAGCGTTGTTCACAGACAGATGGTATCGAAGACCCACAAAAAAGAGGTTCTGGCTACACCACATGATCGAGAATTTTCTTTTCTAAATTTAGTTTCTGGATTTATCTACTTTCGTTACTAGTGCCAGGCCACAGGAGTTTCTCTGCCCAAAATGTAATCTTTTTCGCGCAACATTGTATAACGATCTCTATACTACGAATATTATCCCGCATTAACGTACGTTTACGAGAAAGTAAAAATTTCATTTGTGTATTTTTTTAAGAATACACCAAAATAAATTTTTGTCATTTCAAACAGTACAAACCATTTGATAAGATTGAAAAAAAGCTTTGGAGCTGTTTTTTGAGAAAATGGCGTTTGAGCGTTTCTAATAATGCGAAAGTGTAAGCTCGTTTCCACAGAAACGTTTTTGAGTTTGCATAAAAAGTTTATAAGATATCATTTAAAGCACATGTACTCGTAAATTCTATATGGTAACATACCGACGCTTATATAAATATTAATGACGTGAGAGGCTAGACATTTTGTAATTTTCATAAGATATAGAAGTATAGAGCAATATGGCATTTATTACATCTCATAAAGTACATTTGACACTATCCCTAACAAAAAAGTTGGAGTCGTTTTTGATAAAATCTGGTTTTTATTTTTCTGAATTGCACATAATGCGCCAAAATTGCGCCATAATGCGCAATATTGCGCCAAAACAACAAAATGTTTAAAAAATGTGGTCATATCCTTAATGAAAAAACTAATTGTGGACAACAAATTTCATTCAAGGGAAAATCTTAATCTTCAATTTTGTAGTTGTAGGAAGACTTCACAATTTTTCAATATTGTGCAATTCCCCCTACTCTCAGTTCATTGAAGCCCAAAACGAGATTTAACCCGAATAATGATTTAGCAGGTAGTACATTCTTCTGAGAGAG